CGAGTACATTTTACTATGAATAAATTTATGTTACTAAATTATTATTATTAATATTAAAATTATTTTACTATGTGAAAATTTGAATCTAATTTGAATTTAAAGTAGGTACTATTTAGTTTGCGTAACTTCACTTAACCTGGCTGAATACAGCAGCAACCTTCTTGGTCCCCGAAATGTTTGGTGAAGAAAATATGGCCCGCGGGCTATGATAAGTTGGACAGCACTGGCCTAAGCATCATCATCACCGTCTGAACAGTGGCGTGCCGTGACATTTGATAGGGAAGCTGTTTCTATAAGAAGCTGACTTCCAGGAGCAATCAGTTATTTGCGTGTCACTGATGCTGTAGGATCCATTCGTATCGTTTGTTCGATAAGCCAGTAAAAACCACAAACTTCTCTAAATGTATTTTTAATATCACAATTACATTCTGAGTCGCTAGACACGATATAAGGGCTACAATTAAAAATAAAATAATAAAAACTTAAAATGTGTGGTGGATGTACTGTACAGTACTGTGCATAAAATATCCTTCAATTGTATGAATATACTTTTAAAGAAAATTATAATTAAATATAGCTTTGCAAAGAAACGTACATAACAATAACAAAATATTCTTTACTTTTTAAATCTTAAAACAATCAACTTAGTCAAATAGCTCCCTACGAGTGGCTAATGGATGGAATTAGAGACGGTTGCAGTGCGTGCATACACGCGGACTGCCAAATCCCCAGGGTGCCGATACTGGTCCATGTCAGATACCTCTTTTGTCGCATCACTAGTATATCTCAAAGGACGCGACAGGGTTGTTGTAGATTTTAAACGTTCCTCACCATAGCTGTAAAAATCTACATAGCCTATGTTAAAGTCATTTGTTTTCTAACTAATTCGTTTTAGGACCAGGTGTCCAGGGAAATTTCCAAAATTTACAACTTTTCGGTCACTCTCGTTGCACTGGAAACATTTTTGTCTTTATTACATCTAATATAGTATTCGAAGAAATCAGTCCCCACTGTAATCGGCTATAGATTGGTTCGGTTAAGCTTTTGTTTAAGTAAAATTCCAGCTCTTTCAGCAGGGTTTTATTTGTGTCCCCAATTCCCTAATCGCTTAATTATTTAACTACTACTTAAGTAGAAATAAGTCGAAACCGGTTACTTTGTACTCGAATATTTGTAGTCTCGGGGAAAAAGTGGAAAGACAAATTTTTATGAAAACGGATACATAAATCGTATACACTATCATATACACTATATAACGATTGGAAAAAAATAAATTATGTCTGTATAAAAATCCAGCAACGAGTTGAGAACTTTTCCCAGCAAAAAAGTTAGCGCCACAGTCAAATTTATCTGTTATGAGATTTAAAAAACTTTTTATATTAATTATTATAAAATACAAAAATCTTAATTTTGAGGGTAGAAGTGTTATAAAAGTTTGAAAGAAAAATGCAAATGCTAATAACGAGTGAAATCTTCATTAAGTCCGACCCCACTTGAGATATGACACATAACACTCTCACCCCACTCCACCCCACCCTCTTGCTATTAAATTTTGGTGATTAAAGATCATCAATGTTTCTAATAAACAAACATCCCTGCAAAATTTCAGAAATTTTCGACAAATGGAATGAAAGTTAAACTTTCCCACACACTAGCATCTGTACACAGGAAAAAATCCCAACTTTTTTGCATTTCTCGAAGTTTCAAGCTTCGAATTCAAAAAATGTAAAAATCTTGGGGTCATTATTGACCGATCGCCATACTATCCCTCTGTTATACATAACAGCCAGAAAAGTAAAAGTCAATTGTAATTCCTGAGCATGTGTTGTTGATTTTCTATAATGTAAAATAAATAATAAGGAAATTATTCGTTAATTTGTTAATCATATTAAATTCCTAAAAGTTTTCTGTATTCAAATTGCGTTTATGTAAAAGAGAGACTAGTGCCACCGTTGGTTTTGATGGCGGCCGGATGGCCGAGCGGAAAAGTGACAGCCTACCTCTCTGGGGAATCCGGGCGGATATGTCGGCCCCGTCCATCACCACCCGGTCTCCCCATTGTGGGCCTGGTCGAACCCATAATGGGCCTACTAAAATAGAGGTCCACAGGGAGGAAAGAATTAAATAAAAAAATAGCCACCGTTTCATTATGGACTTGATCGATCTCGTAATTGAAATTTAAAAAAAAATTTTTTTTACTTGGTTAATGTTCGCAGGACTAATGTAACGTTTAAATTATTATTAATGTAATAACACGTTATAAAAAAATAAAACGAACATTTAATTTATTCTAAATAATTCATTGAAATAAGAATAGAAATGAATATAGAAATCTGGCAACACTTAATAATTCTGAATGTAAACGTCAGAGATTTGTTCTGTAGTAAACGTGGTGGTCAAGCAGAAGATGGAATAAGAATCATACAGCTGTTTGCAAAAATGAGTCAAGCACCTAGCAATTTAGCATCGTTGTTTGCCGAATTAAATCGATCGGGACAAAATGGCGAATACGATCGAGCTTTGAAAACTGTAAACAAAAGTAAGCAAAAATTAAATTAATTAAGAGTAATTTCTACATGTGATTCTATCAGAGATGAAACACTTGATTTAATACTGTATTTAAAAAGAAAAACGTTTTATATACAGATTTTCTGAAAACATTTTGATTTTGGATAATCCTTTATTAAGAAAATACTATAGTTCTGTGAAGTAATTACATTATGAATCATAGATAATTAATATTGATCTGATTGAAAAGTGCATTTTCTTTCTTATTGTAGTATACTTTTGATCAGTATGTTAACCTAAATTTATTGCGACTGTCTATCTGATAGTGACATAGATATTAAAACAAATATTACAGATTTAATGATTTTGGATACAATCCAATCTTTCAATGTTAAGTGCTTATATGTATACACTGAAATGAGAGATTTTGTTCAGAATTGTTTTAATAAATTTGATTTCCAATGAACTTCGAAAAATATATAAGACAAATTGAGATTTTTATAGTAAAGTTTTGTAAATGGGATAGCCCTATATTCTTTAGCCAGTTTTTGTTTATGTAGAGCAGTGTTTCTCAATGGGGGGCGTTTTTCCATGTTGAGGGGCGATTAGTAACAATTTATATTTTGGGGGGTGAAAAACAATTTTCTGGGCAATATAGTAAAACATTATATTAATAATAATTAGATATTTTATTCATTATATCATACAATAATTAAACAAATAACATTATACTAGTCACTAGTCTATTCGATGCAGTACGAATTTGGCGTTAGCCTTGGCCCTCAGCATCGGAATTTTGAAATGAAGGGGGCGATACTATGTAATGGTTTTCATGAAGGGAGCGGTGATTTATTAGAGGTTGAGAAACACTGATATAGAGCATTAGAAACAAACCCTGCTTTTGAAAATAAAAAATTAAACTCACTTGTCAGAGCATTAAGAAAAATTTAGTTGTGGGTGTCTACACATTATTTAAAAATTTCTTTGTAAATTTCCTACCTAATGTGAAGTTTTAACTATATATGATACTAATATAAATAAGAAACCAATTGTTATAATTATGAATTAAAACAAATGCATAAAAATATAAAACACAAAAATAAAATGATGTAAAATTATTTATATTTTTATAATCAAGAATCTGTATATACCTGTAGTGTAATTGTTAAATACATGGAGATTGTTTTTCTGAAGCATACATACATTAATAATAATTTGTGCAAATCAAGACCATAGGAATTTAAAAATTTGGAGAGAGAATTGTCAAATAGTTAAATGGTCACTAATGTTGCCATTAATACATCAGTTTTCAAGTTATTTTATGCAGATAAATTAAAATGAAGAAAACATTTTAATAATTAATATAAGTAAGTTCAAATTAAATGAACTTAAAATAAACCATACCTTGATTTTAGCAGTCAAATATATCTACAGGCAAATTATTTTCAGATTAAAATTCATTTTTAATAAAAGCTGTTTACCTTCATACTAAATTTCATAATTTAATTAATTAAAACTTAGCTTAATATAAACCATACCTTGATTTTAGCAGTCAAATATATCTACAGGCAAATTATTTTCAGATTAGAATTCATTTTTAATAAAAGCTGTTTACCTTCATACTAAATTTCATAATTTAATTAATTAAAACTTAGCTTAATTTTAGCCTGAAAATAATTTGGCTTTATGATATGATTTAAAATTAAATGAAATTTATAACAAAAAGTAGCATATACTGTAAGAGGAGAGAACTGTTTCCTTAAAGAAATTTAACTGAATTACATCATACAGGAATTATATAATTAAAATAAAAGACTTCAGTTAAGGATTGACTTGAAATTATTTATTTTATTATTATAAATGTAGTAAAAAGTATAGATAACCCATAAATATCACACACTGCAATCTTGATTTCTTGAATTAGTAATATACATGTATGTTTTATAACCTAGTTGAACATAGGTTATTTTAGTTTTTATCCACGTAATAAGAGAGAGAAATTTTTTATTCTTATTAGTTTATTTATGTATTAAGATAGCATTATTTCAAAATTACATAAAATAAAATAATCTAAAGTTGCAATTGTTATTGTATTCTATTATATTAAGACATGCTTTCATTTGAAGTTTGAGTTTCTCTCATGTAGAGATTGTCTTTAATTCTAATATTTGTGCCTTTGTTCTTAGGCAAAGATAAAATTTCTGAATGTTATACATGTTTTGTTATTTTATTTAAAATAAGATATTATAAGGATAGAGTTAATTTTATCTTATTCTATATTAGTTTAAAATAATTTTGTAATTTTAAAATTTATCAGCTTATTATTGAAAAATTTAAACTTGAAAATGTTATAAAATCTATAATGTTTTAAAATGAAGATTTTAGAAAAATTAGATTTGGCATTGTTTCTGATTATTTATTTAATTCAAAAATATTTTACAGAAAAATCAACTTAAACAGATAAAATATGTATATATATATTTGTTTTTGTTTAAATTGATTCTATATATTTTTCACATATTTTGAAAATAAATATTTTTATTTTGGTGAGTTTACTATGTAATATAGGTGCAAACAAAAAGAATTTACAATGATGATAATGACAACATTTTCAGTTTAAAATAGTATTTCAGAAAATAGTATGTTCTCAAAAGAAGTAAGAAAAGAAATCAATAAAATCAATGATAGTTTAATCTGCATAATTGCATATGCTATTAAAAGATAATTTAACAGTAATTTATGTATAAAATTTTATAATTAAAATATATAAATTAATATAAAAACACTTTTATTTTAAAATTGCTTTAGTATTTCTAGGTCAGGATAACTTTTCTGTGATACAAAATTTGTTCTGTCCTTGAATACCAGCTCTTCCTGTCTCAAAAATCTAGTTTACAGTGATTTGTTTAAATGGATATATTATTATTTTGATTTTGTTTTTTTATTTATAAATAATAATATATTCCGATTATGTTATTATTTAAACAATTTGTATCATAAGTTTTGCATCATTAGCAGTTGATATTGTTCATTTCCATAATTTTTATAATATTTTTAGTTAAATGTATTTAAGCATGTTTTCACAGCCTAAGTTGAAAGTATGGAGAGGAATATTTAATATCAATATAAAGCAATATATTTTATTAAACTATCATTATTTTTTAATAATTACTGTTTCATAGCAAGTATAATCACAAAATTTATTGTATGTGTCACATTGTACTGGTTAATAAATGTATGAGAACATAGAACACAATTTTTTTATTTTATTTAGAGTATTATGACTTATATGTGGGTAAATTTTAAAGTGGTGTCAGATGAAATATGATTTAATTGTGCTAACTAAATTGTTGAAATATATTTAATTCAAGTTTTTAATTTAATTTCTTTTATGTAAATGTTATATAACAGACTTCGTTACTTTTTTAATTTTTGATAGAGAAAGTTCCTGTAGGATTATGAAATTTGTTACAATGTTTACTAATGAAAAATGTAGTGAAAAATTTCTCAAAATTCTTCTATTAAATCCAATCCCAATTTGACTTCACAATTTCAAGTTTTTAAACTTTACATTTGTTCTCTATCAGTGCTGTCTTTAGGCCAGGCCACCCCAGGCTATAGGGGGCCCCCTAATCTGAAAGTAATAAAGTTACAAATAAAAAATAGTTGAATTGAAATAAACAAATTACAGCTGTCCCTTCTTAGTCCATTTTGTAATCCAACATGCTCAGTAGTCCAATGCACCTCCCGTCAAGGTACCCGTCCCCGTTACATGTTTGCTTGCACAGAAGCATGTCATGACATGAATCTCCCCACCTAATTCTTACACAATGACACACATTTTGTGTGTTTTCCATGAGCAGTTCTGTTCGAACATTTGGAGTCGGGAATATTGTAGGCTACTGCTAGCAAAACAATGCCAAATATGTAATCACTTTTGGTAATCTGACACCCCTTTGGTTCCATACCTGTCAGATTATCAAGGGACAGCTGTATTAAAAATATCAAATACTTTATTTCTCCTATTTATAGTTAAAAATTATCTTAAAACTAAGAAAACGTACGAAATTTTTTTTTTTTTTTTTGGCATTTTGCTGCTGTGAAATTTATAAGTAATTTATCAAAATTTACTTTATTAATTATATCTGATTCTATATTCATAATAGGAAGATTATTTAATCTCAATTGAGACATCATATTACAATGAACATTTTTTATAAATTTCAAAATAGAAAATGAACATTTACCAGAACAATTTGTAATCATTAAAGTTAAAAATATTCTAAGACTGATCTCTATGCTAGGAAATGTACACGATAGCAAATCCCGCTTTATTAAAAAATACATATCTGAGATTGACATATTTTCTTTACCTTTATGTAATATACTATTGTTTCTGTTTCCTTAAGGGGGGATCATCTTGATCTTGGTCCTGGCCCAGGGCCCCTTATGTTCTAAAGACAACACTGTTCTCTATATCTATCCATCAGTTCTTTTATCAAAATTAAGGAATCAGATCTTATTTGTTTATCACTTGTAACTAGATAATGTACTAATGTTTTAGGCCATGTTTCCTTTAGGCACTGTGTGCTGTACTTTTGATTTAAATATCAGATTAACATAAAAAATTATGTATTTTTTATGTTTAATCAGTTTTGTATTCTCCATAATTTGTTATGATATGTGTTTCAACTGTATTTCTGAGATCATCTGTGTTTGCAAATTTAATTGGAATAATTTTAGGGACTTTAGAAAAGGTGAGAGTTTGATGGAGCCAGATCTGGAGAATAGGATGGATGTTTCAAAACCTCCCAGTGTAATTGTCAACACTTGCTTTTGTAATATGTAGTCTAACATTGGTTATATTCCAGTATGCATCAAACAGCACATCAGTGAACTGCAATGTATAGAAATGTGTTTTGATATTCACCAATGAGTCTATTGATACAGCAACTGATGCACGTCATACTAATTGGGCTGTGGATATGGTGGAAGTCTGATAATGCAATATGACCACCTCCATGGTTATAT